GTTAGTAATTAGGTATGGTTATTAAGGACATTCGATTTAATCAGTGTGGAGCTGATGGAGCCCATTTAAAAGCATGAACATCAAATAAAGCAGGTTAATCTATACGACCAGCAGAGAAAAAAGAAAACCTAGACTTGCATTAATGGAGTAGGAAGTAAAGCAGTGGCCCACTTTATTCCTTCTCAATGAGCCTGGGTCTGGGGGTTGGGGGCGTCCCAGACAAAGGCTATAGAATGGATAGTAGATGGTCCCTTGACATTCTATGCAACTCTTTGATTCAGAACTTTCTCTTTAACTCTAAATATTATTAAATATTAAGTAGAACTCTTATTTATTCTACAGAGAGGGAGAGAGAATTCATCCTTTCTAGACTTTCTACAACTATCAACTAATATTTGAAAGAGTAACCTTGTAAATTTATTATAAAAGTAAAAGAGATTTCCAAAAAAGACAAAAATAAAGACCTGCAGTTTCATCCTTTAGAGATAACCACTTCTGAGCACCTATGTGAATGCTATTTTAAAGTTTTTATGGTGTATACACTTACATACACAAATAAAAACAGGGTGCAATAGTGATTACTCTTTTACAGCAAGCTTCTCTGTCACTTAACAGTGTCCTTATGAGTTTATTTTCATGTAATTTAATACTCTCCTACAACGTCATTTAAGTGTAAAGCATATTGTATCTTTGGCCTCCTTAGGCACTCCCCTATGATTGGACATATAAGGTGTTTCCCCCAAAGCACCGACTATGCCGTAAATGATAATGCCAAAAGAACATCGCTTGGTCTTCAAGTCCAATGTGCTCTTGCCTTAGAGCTAGCTGGGGAAGATGCAGAAGAAAAGACAACATTTTGTTCAAATAGTCTCACTGAACCTGACCCATGTTGTGGTTTGATCTGGCTCGGAGAACAGCCAGGGGGTGCAGGCTGTGGAGGGCACCCTGTAATGCTGCGGAAATATCAAACAGCTCGGCTGCAACTCACACCATAATGGGCTCCCCACAGTGGGCGCCAAGGTTGCTCTGCTCTGCTAGGAAGGGCCTGCGAACCCCAGGGGGACTCCGCTTCCTGCTTAAAATGTCAACAGCGGCTTGTGCTTGGGTTTGGATTGCCTTCAATCCTCCTCCGTGTCGTGTTTGTCTCTTCATTCTGGCCTGAGAATTCATCACTTTTTTCCAATAACATCGTTCCTGCAGTAGGTTGGTGGGTGGGTTAAAAAATTTAATAACCTAAGAAGCCTCTGAGTTTCAGTTTCTCTGGTTTAGTAGTTTACATAATTCTTTGTTCCTGCAGCATTTGTACATCACTTCTCTGATTGTTTTATACCACATGAAATTCCCTGGCAATCCCCCAGGCCCGGCTTCTCAGGCCGCCTGTGCCGCACATGAATGTCTGAAGGGCTGCCCAGCATTTGAATAAGGTAAATGCCAGCTTTTTACGCTGCTAAACGGAATTGAATAACTTACACTTGGGGACCAATATCTCTTCTATTTTATTAATTCTATTAAGACCACCCACGGAGGAAAAAATAGGTTTTCTTAAATGTGAAGGATCGGGATAATTCACTGTTCGCTGGGACTGGATGTGCCTGTGTCTTTGTGGCATCCATAAGCATCATTAGACAGTCACCTTTGAGACAGTATACTTGCATTCATTCTGTCACATGCAAATTCAGCAAAACAAGTATCTATTGTGTCTTTTTCTGTGCCAGTCTCTCTTTGTCTGCAGGGTCTACAGAGACAGAGAGGAGCAAGAAATATTCCTGCCTTCGAGGAGTTCAAAGTTTGAAGTGTCTGTTTTCAAGGGACACACAGNAACAAGTATCTATTGTGTCTTTTTCTGTGCCAGTCTCTCTTTGTCTGCAGAGTCTACAGAGACAGAGAGGAGCAAGAAATATTCCTGCCTTTGAGGAGTTCAAAGTTTGAAGTGTCTGTTTTCAAGGGACACACACACACACACACACACACACACACACAGTATAACTATGGAATACAAAATACAGTTATGGCTGAGATAAGTGGGAATGTGACACTCCAGGGGCATCCAGAGGGAGCAATTCACTGGCTGGGGGTTGGAGGAAGGTTTCTGAGAGGAGCTGATACTTGGGTGAGGTCTGGATGGAAGACAAATGGGGAACAGACATCAGAGGCCAGGGGCGAAGGGAAGCATCCAAACAGCATCATGTGTGTCAAAACACAGGGTGTGGCCGGAAGGTGGCAAATGATTTGCTGAAGCTGTTGCCACGGGGGCCTGTGGGCCAAGATGTGGCTGGAGAAACTGGTTAGAAGGCAACCCGCGAAGAACTTGGTCACTAAAGAAGTTAGATGTTTTCTGCAGAAATGGGAACACTCGAAGCCCTTTGGGAAGGGAGGGGTGACATGATCAGGACTGTGTTTGGGAAGACTAGCCCCCAGCAGCAGTAAGGAAGTAAGAAAGCAGTTAGGAAGTCATTTCCATCTTCCAGGAAGGGGACAGGGAGACCTGACCCAGGGAATAGATGGAAGTAGGAACAAAAGGACAGCCCAGTGTGTGCTCTTTCTGACTAAGCTGGTAGTACTTCCAAGCACACCTGTTTCCACATTTGGGTCCAAAAATACTTATTTTGGGGGGAAATGGGAAAGATAAGAAAACACAGGAGATAGGACTGTAGATGCTGGCTATAGGTGGCAGCCTGTTAAGCTGTCAGTCTTTCTCGGGGGTTATTATTTAATTCTCAGCTCAAGATGCTTTGGATTCCTCAAAACATTCTATAAAATCAGGAATGTTTGCAGACCACCAGCGTCATCATTCTGTGCACATATTACATATATAATATGAATGCTGAAAAGCCTGTAACAGAATTCCTAATAATTTTAAGGCAAAAGGGAAAACAATTCTGTATTAAATTTTCCATACTCTCCATACCCCAACAGGTTGAGCCTATTGGGAATGAACTATACCTCTCAAGTTTCCCTGGCATCTCGTTTGTATCTCTTTAATGCACACACCACACACACAGCAGCAACTTGCAAGAGTGTATTGTGGATCTCTAGTCTCCTCTAGGCCGTCATCAATATTCTTGAAGGCAGAACCCATCCTTGTTCATCTTCAGGCTCCTCAAAGGGCTTGGCACACAGTAGGGGCTTAGTGGGAGGAAGGAAGGAAGGAAGGAAGGAAGGAAGGAAGGAAGGAAGGAAGGAAGGAAGGAAGGAAGGAAGGGAGGAAGGAAGGGAAAAATGGCTGATGTGGAGTGAGGAGTTTGGAACAGGAATGGCTGAGGGCAGGTAGAAAAGGTTAACTAGGAACCAGCTAATGAATAAGCTCAGCATGTGGAGGAAATACATCCATGCGCCTGATTAACCAGAAATATTTTCAGTAAGTTGGAGAAGAAAACTGACTAATCATTCTATGGCAGGATACATAGGAAAGAAAAAATGTCCCAATTTGAAACAAAGTCAGATCACTGATTAGAAAGAGTTTTTAAAGGATGATTTTAAATAAAATCCTGGCTGAAAGGTACGTCCACCCATTTTGTTATTTCTCCTTTTGTTCCTTAATTCCTTAGACGTTAAGGTTATGGGCCCTGGAGCCAACCTGCCTGGGTTTGAGCCATGGGTCCCTCATCAGCTGTGTGACTTGGTGCAAGTTCCTAAGACTCTCTGTGCCTCAGTTTCTGCATCTAGAAAGTTAGAGTATCCACAGTGCTAGCTCTTCAAGTTGGGGTAGGAAATAAGTGAGTTAGCAGACATGAAGCTCTTAGAACGGCGCCTGGTAGGGATGTTTAATCACATTCACTTTCTCGCTCTGTATGTTCGCTGTATTTAGCACTCCCTGTGCATCGGGTACTTTCAAAGCCCTGGAAACAGAAAGACAACGATGCCACCCCTCCTCAAGCAGCTGATAGTCTGCTGGGGATGACAAGTGGGAATAAACAATTACAGGCCAACGTGACAAGTGCTATGGTAAAGTTACACATTACACACTTTGGGGGAGCAGAGAGGAGGGTGAGGAGGGAGGGCTGAGCTCAAGTGGGCCATCTACACAACACAGCAGAGCCCATCCGGCTTCGCCCAAACTTCAACCCATGAAGCCCCCTGTCTTCTCTTCGGGCGCAGACACCCTTCCTATGTCTGCATCTTCACCATGGGAAGGGGGCCCCGATTTCCTCTGGAGTCTTGGTTGAGAGAGCCTAACTGGGTGAATGCCCTCCAGCTTCCTTAAATGAGAAAACAGAGGAGTGGGCGTCTCGGGGGTGTGGGGTTAGGGTCATGTTGTCCCTGGGCCAATGGCAATAAGAAGGAGGGCCTGGGAAGGAGGAAGGGAACAATTTCAGGAGGAAGTCACAGATCAGACCCAACTTTTGGCTAAATAAACAGGCATCTCAGGGCCGTGGGGAGGATGCTGGCTGAAGACTGGGAGGAGAGGAGAGGTGGGAACAGGCTGGCGTGGGTTCCTGTGCCCTGCTGGGCTATGGCTGGCTGGGACGGCCGCCCAGCGGTTGTGAAGAGGGGACAATTCAATGGCATTTATACTTCTGTACTTTGAACGTAGCCACCTAGGGCCCAGTGGGTCGATGACTCAAATGAGAAAGACCACAGTAAAGCACTGACATCTACAAAGCCTCCTTATTTCTTTCTTTTTCAGAGTTCATGGCTAAGTGGGGAGCCCCTGCCAGTGAAGGGTGGCTGAGGGGAAACGCAGAAGCACTTTGAACAGCAATGGATGCGGGGAAGCTACGGGTTCTTCCTGCTGCCGGCTTCCCTGTATCTTATAAATAAGGTGCCACCCCTGACACCGTGTCGTGTTTGTAAAGCGCCTCGTATGCACGTTCCATTTCCTTCCCACAGCCACTGGGTCAGGTGAGCCCTTCGGATGAGCCTTACGGTGATTTTTATGTAACAGCACATGCCATATGATGCGACACTTAGATGCTGACACCTGCGGCAAAGCTTGCCCAGGCCCCAGGCTCCGGCCAGGATCCCGGCCTCAGCAAGCAGCTAGCGGAACAGAAACTTACCCCCTTTCTTTTTCCCGCAGAAGGAAAACTTGGGTAGGTCCTCTTCACAGACGGGGTAGGAGTAAATCAGGAGGGACGCTCCCTCCGTCAGGAGACTTATGTCAAGAAACAACTCTTTGATGTCCTCTCCTAAAGCAAAGGAGAAGGCCAGCTTTACTGTTAGTGTGGGTTTTGCCGCATATCAAAGCATTCAAAATTTATACAGGCATGAGCCCCAAGAACTCCTATTTCCAGCAGCCTGGCTGTAGGGAGCAGTGTTCTCCCTGTCTTGGTAAATTGGTATTTATGCAGCACTGCAGGGGTCGTGGGGCCAGTCCGGATGAGATGAGGCGTTTTCACACACTGCGTGGAGCAAGGTCGTTTACCTGCTGCGCTCCCTGCCCTGGTGCCAAGACCCTTCCTGTGACGGCTGCAGGTCTGGCCTCTACCACTTTTCAGCTGCCTGGTATTAGGTGCCTCTCTGATAGCCCCGGGGTGTGGTCAAGCCCGCAGGCCCCCCGCTGCTAGGCACATACTGTGGTGTAACTACACAGGAAGCTCCAGGGAGCTCTGCAGTGCGGACTGCCAATTCTTTCTGAAACTTTTCCCATTCCTCCCTTTCATGTTCTGCTTGCTTCCCCTTCCATTCTGCTTTTTTCTCTTTCTCTCTGCAGAGATTTATTGAGCTGCTGCTACAGAGTCCAGATAATGTGTGAGGTTTTGGAAATACAAAGATGCGTGAGAGTTCTTGGGCTCTGGGAATGTTCCTTCCATTTCTGGGGGATGACTCTACATGCTAGGTTTATTAAATCCTTCTGCTCTGGGTTGGATAAAACTCTTTTAGATAAGAGATAGTCTAGTAACTATAGCAATATATTGACTAATTGTAATGGCATGATCATATAAACATAAATAACCAGAAAGCATTCTAGCTCATTGCTTGGGGTGGAGTGAGAAGATATTACATGTCTTTGCCTGTGTCAAGGTTTAAGAACTTATATTAGCTATTTGAGAAATGAAATAACACAAAGACAAGCCATGTTGTTGGTAGTAGACTTGTTTGTTGCTGAGATAACTAAACAAAGACTCTATCCTGAGCAAACATCAATACTTAGGCTCCAAACATTTTCTTTGTTTGCTGGATATACTGATTCCAGGGGCTTATACCATCCAAATGAGTGCCTAGAGCCTTCCAGTACAAAAATGACAGCATTAAATGAGAGTTTTACTCTATCTGGATATTACCCAGAGAGAACTGAAGATGAAGATGGAAATAAAGTTAATTCCTGAGAGTGATGGGAGGCAGTGGCTGAGCCAGCCACTCCAGTTAATACAAGTAATTGGGTGTGTGAGCCAGAAAGAGGCTGTGCAATGTATTATTTCAAGTCAATAGATTTTACTTACTCAGAATCATTCCAAATCTAATGCTGAGATTTGATTCTAAATGTTTGGAACACTGGTCAATAGAAAATCCAAAATCTTGTAATGGATCTGCCAAGAAGAAAATAGATCAGGTGTGAGTACACTGTATACTCTGCAAACTCATAGACAAAATTCATACCAATTATATTATCTTTTCTATATGAATCAGTAAAATTGATTTAAAAACATACTATCCAATACATTTTTGCATTGGTCCATGATACTTTTCAACAGCCCTTCCCAGTCTCTGCAAAGTCAAGGCTGCTCAGTGTCATGTTCAGTCTGAGAAATGAGCCTGGTGCCTCAGTGGGTGGGTTATATCTTAACTTGTTAAATTTTTATCATTATTTGAATCTCTTTATTTCCTGAACTTAAAATTAAAATTGCTCATTGATTGGATGAAACATTTCACAAAGTATTTGTTATTATAACTAAGACAGAGGTAAATATATGCAGATTTTCAAAGTTAAGACCTGCCTTTAAAATTCCATCTTATTCCACCCCATCTTACTCAGTATAATACTTTTCCCCCAAATATTTCACTATGTGTAAGGTATCCCGTTAGATTTGATGAGGACTACAAAGTCAATTTTTTTTCACATAGTTTCTACTTATTCGAAAAGCTCCACTGGCTCATCTACGCCTTAGAAGAGAGTCAAGAACTGTTCTACTGGTTCCATCTTCCCCCCTCCATGTCACAAACCCTCCCTCATTCCTCGAGGGCAGGGCTGCAAGGTAAGCACCCAGGAAGCTCCCACCGTGTTTGTGTTGCCCACAACACCGGCTTCCTCCCATTTATAATCCCATCTATAAAGCCCTCACCCCTTTGGGCCATCATCTCAATACTGAGGTATTGCTCATTCCCATCTGCTTTCTGAAGGCTTCTCTGATAGTTCCCAAGATATTTGTTTGCTTTTCTGAACTCTTGAAACAGTTCTGTCTGAAATACTTTTTGAAGTGTACAAATATGTATGGCTTTGTACTTTGCTCTTTGACTTAGCCCATTACACTTAATCGAAACACTGAACTCCTGAAAGGCACGAGCTGGTGTCTTATTGTGTTTTGTTTTCCATTTCTTTTCCCTTTATGCTTCCCACTGGGCCTGAGAGAAGAGAACTGTGCACTTTATTTATAAGAGTTTTCCATTTAAGTTTGCAGACTCCCAGAGTCCAGCAGAGAGCCTCACGGTCAGACACACAGTAAGCACTCCATACATGCACATAATGAACAGATGCATGGGCTGTGTAGTAAGCCACTGTCTCTCAGCTCCAAACCCAGCCTTCTGAACTCTTGCTTTGTGAAGCTGGGACTCTTTGCAATCACGTTTCTCCTTTGCCATCTGCCAGAGAGGTGCCAGAGGGAGACTGAAGCTGAGCAGGAGGAGGGACTCCTTTTTGCATACTTGCTGGTACTTGAGAGTCTCACCTGTGAGGACCTGTCACCTCGGCAGTAGCAACTGGTTCCAGTATCCAGCTCTCTTTTGCACTTTCCCAGAATCAGAAGAGGCTCAGCTCTGCAGGTCCCTAAGCTCCTGTGATGACAGTACCTCAGAGGCTGTCACCCCTTCCCCAGCAGTCAATGTCTCAGCCAAGCTTCTAGGTTCTAAAGGCTCCAACCTCTGTCCTCTGCTTTCCCAGCCTTTGGTGTGGTAGTTGCTTCCTTTTTTTGCTTGTTGGTTCTCTAACTGCTTAAACAATTCCTTATGTTAAATCCTCTCTGTTAAGATAACTGACATGGTCAGTTTTCCTGACCAGACCCAGGCTGCTACAACAAATCCCCATCTTGAGAGATAGGTATAATTTCCCCTATTTCACAGATAGGAAAATATAGACTCAGAGAGGTGGCATTAACGTGGAGGGTCAAGATTAAAACCAGACTTAAAAGCAAATAAACACATAAATAATTGCCACCTAGTATTGGGGGAGGGGGGCATTCACAAGCAGAGCCTCAAAGGTGTATGTTAATTACTTGATTTGCAAGATTGCCTGGAATATTTTATGTGCAGGCCTGTGGCATCTGCTAGTTCTGTTTCATGACTGGTTTCAATTCCAGCTGAGCTAGGAGCTCACATTTGTCAATGATAGTGAGCCAGACAGTTTTATCACCCACATTGCTGACCTGGAAGATGCATAATTGCCTGTGGTTTCTGCCCTGGAAGTGATCACAAGGCAATTTCAGCTTTGCAAATCTAATCTAGTGACCTTTAATCTGCTCACTAACTTTTCTGGGGGAGAAAGCCATTTTCTCTTCTGCTCATCTGACTTCTTCATAGACATCTCTGTGCTGTCCCAGGGCTTCCCTCAGCTAGGAAAGTAGGAGCAGGGGGTGAAAGTATATTTGTTTCTGTTACATACTTGGCGAGCAGTATTGAAAAACAGAGCCCAACTAAGACATTTAGGAAAGTACATCTGAAGATTGTGAATGAGTTTAGGTTGGTGTCTGAGGAAAGATAAAAGAAGCCAAGTGTGCAATGCTTAGTCAGTTAGCAGTTACAGAATTATACTGTACGCTTATCAATGTTTAGAGGTAGAGATAGAGAGAATACACTGAGGGCAAAAGAGGGAAATAAAGCATCTCTGATACTGGAAAAATATTGTTAGGAAATACAATCTTAATACAGAACAAAGTCACGAAGGAAGCAGTAGGTTGCTTCCTTCTGAAGATGTGTTTATAAAAACAGAAAATCAAATTGCTGAAAAAGTGCCTAGGGCTTTGGTGATCTTTCCTAGCAGTTATTTCAGTTTTATACTTGAGAGTGAAGATGCAGTTTGCAGTCGTCACGGGGAGAGTGACATCAGTTTCTCCCGCTCTCCAATTCCGTCCTCACAAGCTCTACCCTCCCCCTATTGGTTTGTATTTACACGCAGGCACTCAGCATGTCCTGAATTACATTATACTTTCTTGGACACGGCTCTCTTTCCTCTACTAGATGCTGCAAGGCGGGCTCCCCAGCCTCAGGGCCAGCATAATGCCTTGAGATTATACTAGGGTCCAAGTAACTATTTGCTGAATGAATGACAAGGGTTACATGTACATTTCTTGTGGGGTCATCTTGTACATTGTAAGAAGCATCTTCGGCCTCTACCCTCTAGATACCGGCAGCACTCCTGCCCCCAACTCCAGTTGTAACAACCAAAAATGTCTTTAGACGTTGCCAAGTATTCCCTGGGGGACAGACTCACTCCTGGTGGAGAACCACTGCTTTAAAGAATTATTTTTTCAGTTACCAAATTACCAACTGCCATAAAATCATCTGCCAAAATAAAAGATAGTGGATTGCATTTTTAAGTAGTTCTCATTACGTAGATTAGAACTGACCGATTATCTGAATTTGGATGTTGTGAAAGAATTGGAAAGTTAATGAGAGTTGCAGTTCTCTGGCTTCAAGGGCAGAGAGAATGTTTCCTCTGGACCCTTCATTGTGTAGCCAGCAGCAAACAAACTGAGGAAAGAAGCAAAGCTTCATGGTGAAAGATGCAGTCTGTTCACATGAAATCTTTTCCCTTAGCCTCTAAGTTCTGTCAGCACATAGGCTGACACCCAAGGGAAGTGAGTGAGCCCAGCATGCTCCCAAATAGCCCTGCTGCCCCACTGTCCTGTGACATGGGTGCCTGGGAGCAGGCCCTCCAAAGAGCTGAGAGCCAGGCGCGCTGGGGCTGAGGGAGAGGCCACAGGAAAGCAGCCTGCAGCACCTGCCTTGCTTGCCAAGGGCGGCAGCAGTCAGTGTGCCTGGAACTGCTCTGGGATCATTTGTGGGGTAGAACAGACTTAGATGAACAGGTGAGGCTTAGCGTGTGCAGAGCGTAACAGGTCTCAGCTCCAGAGCCTTCAGCTCTGACGGTGGCCTGTGCTCTTTTGGCTGGGCTGGAACTGAGTGGTTGTCCAGAAGAAGACAAGCTGGGCTTCGTATTTTCTAACCAGTGTTGGGGGCTCAGCTGGAAGAAAAACAAAACCCAATGGCACGGTTTCTGGAAGAGCAATTTCCATCATGGACAGTGGGGCCCTGAGCCTGATGGCCCTGGGCGTTGCACACTGCTAGCCCTGGCAGTGTAGTCCCAAGGGAGGTGGCATTAAGTGCTGGAGTCCACCACACCCCCGGGTGCCCTGCAGCCTGGTTGCTGGTTGGGAATAGTGGAGGAGCCGACTCTCATATTGTTAGTGCCATTTTTATATTTCACAGCTCTGTTTGAAGTTCTTTTTAACTTCAGATTTTGAAATAATTACATTCTCGCAGAAAGTTGTAAAGAGATAAAGAGAGGTTTGAGGTACCATTTACCCAGCTTCCCCCCATGGTTAACATCTGACATATAATATAGTACAATATCAAAACTAGGAAATTGACAAAGATATAATCCACAGCACTTATTGAGATTTTACCAGTTTTACATAAACTTGTGTGTGTGTGTGTGCAATACATGGCTTACAGTTCTACTGCTTAGGTTTTAAAAACTGTTGCAAAGTGAGCGAAGCATGGGCTTTCCTGCTCCCGCAGGAGGTGGAATTCTTGTAGCAGTGCCACCCAGAAAAAGAACTGACACTCATTCAGACTCACCTCCACTAGCCTCCCCATGCTCATCCCCAAGTCCCTGCCCAAGCTTGTCCATGTCCTTCCTGCTGCATGAAGTTGGTCTCCCTCTTCCTGCCTCCCTCCTCTCTTCTTCTGTCTTCCCACCTCTCTCTTTTTCTCCCTCCTCTCACTCCTGTATTCCTCTGTTTCCTTCCTTCCCAGCCTTCCTCCCTCTCTCTTCTCTCTTTCTCCCTCCCCTTTCTTCTTATCTCCATCTCTCCTTTCCCTCTCTTTTTCTCTCGCACTCATCCAGTACTTAGATGGGTGACATCCTGAGATCCAGAACACTGACTTTTCTTCTAATATATCTTAACCTCACGGTTCATTCCCTGTAACCCACATTACTTTAGGAGCTGGTGTTGCTTCTTGCACGTTCTGTGAGCAGGATGGAGACTGACTCTAGGAGTGTTAGATATTACAAAGCATATTTCATAGCATGCTTCCAAAAGAGGCACAGCTTGGGGAGCGGAGGGAAGGACAATAGAAAATGCGGGGGGTTTTA